TTTGTTTTGTTTTTTTAAGAATATTTCAGGGTTAACATAATTGCATGTTTTTTCTTCAGGAGTAAAAATTCAGCAAAGCATAACCTATTTTTGACATGATTCTGATAATTTTTAAGGTATGCATGGATCAATTTTCCTTTGTGATGATAAATCACCTAGTGAACATCAATTATCTCCTAGGTGCTGTTCAGGAAGTGGCTTATATTCACTCAAACCAGCATGTGATAGGATCCAGCAAAGCTGAGAATCATATGAGCCGGTGGGCAGCGCGTGATGTGTTTGAGTTGAAGCAGTTTTCCCAGCTTCCTGCTAACATAGCTATTTGCAGTTCTGAGGTAAGAAAAATATGGGGTATATCACTTACCTGTATTATAAATTAGTTTTTATCTCATTTTTCATAGAAATTCTCAATAGGATCTTCTAGCACTTCCTCAAAAGTTCTGCTAAAACTCTAAGTTACATACAAGTAAGTATAAAAAACAAAATACCATTTGGGAAACTATAGTCACTGAAAATGTTTTGGATTAAATGATAAATCTTAACCTAAAAATGCCTAATAATATTGAGTTGCTTAATAGTTTTTCTCAAAATAAAAAAAGTTCTTATCTTCCAAAAATTCAAGAGTCTGAGGGGATCATGCAGTTAAATCAGAACCAACTGTCTGTGTTCATATGGAAAGAGTATATGATAGGGGCTGGGGATGTAGCTCAGTGGGTAGAGTGCTTGCCTCATATGCACAAGGCCCAAGGTTCAATCCCCAGCACCACCACGAAAAAAAAAAAAAATGTATATGATTAGATTTCCTCAAAAATTTTTCATGTAAAATGAAGACACTCATAAAAAAGGTAACTTCATGTAGAATTTGTTTTTAGCAAAAGGATTTTTATAATGTTAAAAGTAATAAATACTTTCTACAGGCTCTTTCCACTTGGCATTGCCATTATATGGAAATAAATAATTATGTAAATGTGGTATTTTTTGTTTATTCATAGTCACTTTTACCAAAGGTTTTTAAAATATTATGTTTCTTTGGTGTATTGTTCCTTATTAATTTCTGACAGTTAAGTGTCTAAGATGCAGTTTTACTATTACTTTATGAGTGAGAGTAAAGAGTACATACTATATATAACAGTGATATTTTAACTTAGTATTACTTTTTTGTTCTAATTAGTTATACATGACAGTAGAATGCATTTTGACACATCTTACATAAAAGTATAACTTCTCATTCTTCTGGTTGCACATGATATAGAATCATACCAGTCATGTTATCATATGTGTACGTAGGGTAATAATGTCTGACTCATTCTACTATCCTTCCTGCCCCCATTCCACCTCCCCTCCATTCACTCCCCTCTGCCTAATCCAAAGTACCTCCATTCTTCCCTAGCCACCCCCTTGTTGTGAATTAGTATCTTCATATCAGGGAAAACATTAGACCTTTGGTTTTTTGGGGATTGGCTTATTTCGCTTA